ATACAATATAATTATATACCAAAATCAGAATACTACCATCTCAAACCATTGCAGAATGTTATGAAGGAAGTATTCCAACACACACTTAGACAGAAAGTGATATTTGTGCATTGGTTTTAGGGGTGTGCATGAAGCGATTCATAACCAGTTTTGACAAAATTCGAACCGAACCGATTTTAAATAGTCTGGTTTTTAAACCGAACTATTTTTTTTTAAACCAGTTTTTATTTATCCAAACCGTTTCAAAACCGGAAACCGGCTTTAATTCAAAACTGGTTATGAACCATAAATCGGTTATAAGTTTAAAACTGGTTTTATAATAACTTCAAAACCGATTTTTGATGAATTGTGCTATTTTTTTAAATAAAATAAAAGATACCTTTATTATTTTTGTTGAAATAAAATAAAAGATACCTTTATTATTTTTGTTGAAATAAAATAAAATACGTCGTGCCATCATCCAATTTAAATTAGATCCAAGATGAGCATTTTTTTTGAAATAAAACAAAAATCCAAGATTTTTGTTGAAAAAAATCTGTCATTTCTATTATTGAAATAAAACAAAAATGGCACCGCAGTTTTTGAACCTCCTCAGGAATGCCATTATTGGAAATTTTGGCATCAGTTTTGGTAAAATATAGTACATGATGCTTTTATTTGAGGAAGAACCTGCATTATGTATACAAGAAGCACATAAAAATGTCATGTTCAAACAAGATTGTTGTTTTCATAAAATGAACCTTCAATCAGTAAGATCAGACATCAGACAACTTACAATATGATAATCATATGACATTTTATTTATTTTAGTATGGTTTACAGTGGGATGTGTTATTCCAACACCAAAGTAGCAAGTTTAGGCCCTTGTTGCAAACAATCACAAATTCTTATTTTATTTTGTGCAGGCTTTTAAAAACAAGGTATATTGAGGTTCAGACTGGACAGTGGATACAAACTCATCATGGGCATGGACAGTAGCGGACCCAGAAAATTTTATTTATGTCTGCACATTTAGTGGGGTTAAATTTTTTTTAAATGCATTAAAAAAAATATATAAACAATAAAAGAAAAGAAAACTTTAAAAAAAATATGGAGAACTTATTTTTTTTAAATGCTTTTGCAAATCTACGTTAAATATGTTAGTTTTTCATCTCAAAACCGAATAAATAAAATAATTAAAGCTTGTTGGTAAGAATGTATTTGAATGCCCAATTTATATCTACATATTTATGTTTCTGTGTTTAGTCTCTACATAAATATTAGTAACAATGTCATATGAATAACAAAAGATTAATTAATAAAAGTGACAACAAAGTCACTCTTTAAATATTAGCAATGGATCAATTTGATGAACTTTAAGAAAATTTATGTCTGCAAGTGCCCACACTTGCAATAGTGTGGGTTCGCCTATGGGCATGGAGTAGTCAGTTGGAGAGTTTGATAGCATGTTTAAGTCTTTAGGCTTTTAAGAATTTAAAAAAAAAAATGAGTAAATACCATTTTTGGTCCCTAACAAAAAACACGGTCCCCACTTTAGTCCCTTACAAAAATAGATTAGTCAGTTAGTCCCTAACAAATTCAAAGTGAACCCATTTAGTTGAAATCGTGGTCCCTCACAAATTCAAAAAAGACCCATATTAGTCCGTCAAAAGGACTAAAATGGTTCACTTTGAATTTATTAGGGACTAACTGACTAATTTATTTTGTAAGGGACTAAAGTGGAGACCATATTTTTTGTTAGGGACCAAAAATGATGTTTACTCAAAAAAAATAATTAAAATAATAATATTTTATTATTTAAATAATTATTTTATTTATTTTATTTATTTTATTTATATAAACAATATAATAGTGAGTCTTGGAGGTGTCAAAATGGGTTAAAACTTGTGGGCCAGCCCCAAAGCCCTATATTTGGCCTGAACCCATTAGGGCTTTTTCGTTGAAAGGCCTCTTTTAGCTTTAACCCTGAAAACCCTATAATTTAGCTGGCTGGGTTAGACTTGGCCCACGGGTCAAACTTTTCCCTTCATCAAAATTTTCATTATTTAAAAAATTAAAAAAATTATAAATTTAAATATTTATAAATATAATAAACTATAAACATAATTTAAGTAAAAATTGTTGTTAATTTGATAGAAAATATAAGAGAAAGTGAAATATGAAAGAAAGAAAAATGAAGGGTAAAAAGAAAATCAAAGAAAGAATAAGATAGAAACAATTATGAGCTCTCGAAGGTAAGAAAATATTATTATATTCTTAATTTACAGTACCACTTTTTTATCTAAGATATGTCCTTATATAGGACTCTGAACATAATTTGGGGAATAATTACAATCCAACACACCATTAGTGTGATGGTTGCAGAATACATCAAAGGTTATAAAAAACAAAGAGTCACATGTTATGAACCATGTAAAAGGTCATACATAATATATTACAACATTCTTCCTTGGATGTATTCTACGATTCAACACACTATTAGTGTGATGGTGTTATAGAATACATCAGAGGTGATGAAAAATAAAGAGTCACATGTTATGAACCATGTGAAAGGTCATCCATAATACATATGAAATGTCATCCATAATATTTTACAACACTCCCCTTGGATGTTTTCTACAATTCAACACACGATTAGTGTGATGGTTATAAAATACATCAAAGGTCATGAAAAACAAAGAGTCACGTCTTATGAATCATGTGACAGGTCATCCATAATTCATGTGAAATGTCACACATAATATTTTACAAGGCGGATGTATTCTACAATTCAACACTCTATTAGTGTGATAGTTATAGAATACATCAAATGTCATGAAAAATAAAGATTTGTGTTATGAACCATGTGAAAGGTCATCCATTATATTTTACAACAAAAATGAATTTTCCAGCAATGGTATGTTTTAACATAGAATTTCATCTGCCCATCAATAAAATTAATAGTTTGTAACGATAGTAGTCGAAAAAAATTAATAGTTTTACTTTCAAATATATAGTATACCAAGAGCAATTATTTAATACTGGTCTTAAGATCATTTTTTCATTGTTACTTTTAGTTTTCTACTAGAGTTGTTGTATTCAATTATGGCTCCTAGTGAGAAAATATTTATTTGATGGCATCCTTTAATAATGAATTTAGTAAATGTAGTAACTAATTTTTTTTTACTTAATATTAAATTTTGTTTACATTTTCACTTGTATATTTGTGTGCAAATATTATTTTACTAAAAAAATTATAATTAGTAGAAAATATGTTAAGAAAGTTTGAAATATTTATTTGATAAAATATTTTTTAATGTATAGAATATGATAAAAAAATTATGAAATTATAATTTTGAATGGCCCACGAACTGGCCCTAACTAATAGAATTTTTAACCTGTGTGGACCTTTATTATTGAGATTTATTTGACCCTAACTGAGTTAGGGCTTAACGAGACTGATTTATCCATTTTAAGAGCTCTTGCGGACGTATAAACTTACATACCAGACATTATAAAAGAAGAAAACTTATGACATATTTTTTAAATTGAAATTTTTTTTTTATGCTTGAGTCTATTATATTTTATTAAAAGTATTAGGCTACGTTTGACCTGACATAACTATGCCCCTGATAAGTTTTCTCACGTATTTAGAACCTATCTACGAGTCAAAAAAATCAGAGACAAGTAAGATTGCTTTTACCACCACGTCACCAAAATTTCAGTGTTAAATATCGTTTTTTTTTTCTTTTTTTTTTAAGCTAGATAGATTTTTGAGTAAACACATTTTTTGGTCCCTAACAACAAATACGATCCCCACTTTAGTCTCTTACAAAAATAAATTAGTCAGTCAGTCTCTAACAAATTCAAAATAGATCCATTTTAGTCCTTTTGAGGGACTAATATGGGTCTTTTTTGAATTTGTGAGGGACCACGATTTCAACTAAATGGGTCCACTTTGAATTTGTTAGAGACTAACTGGCTAATTTATTTTTGTAATGGACTAAAGTGAGGACCGTGTTTTTTGTTAGGGACCAAAAACGGTATTTACTCTAGATTTTTTATTGGAGATAAGTTATTCTATCTTTCTTTTTTTTTTTGCCTACCACTCTAAAAGACCATTAAATGAGAATCTTAATTAACATTTATTTTTCTCTCTTATTTTTAAATTCTGATTTAATGGTGTTGGAGAGTGATATATAAAAATAGACAGAAAAAAGATTAGTAAAATAACTTATCCCTTTCTATTGATATATATTTTGTGTATTCCTTTTTATATAAACAAAAAAAATTGTAAGTTTGATGTTTGTGTGTTTTGTATATCTTTTTAGGGAAAAGATAGTCTTATGTCACCCAAGAGAAGTTTCCTTTCCAGCTGATACATCGATTTGGGTGCATTGTTTTTTTTAATAAATGGCTGGGACCCATGCTTTGTTGTGTCTGTGATAGGAAAATATTTAATATGGTCCAGGACCACTGAATCTTTTGGTGCTCCCTCTCACATCATTACTTTTTTCTTTTCCTTTTTACTCCTGTTATTTTCCCCCTTTTTCAATTTTACCCTCTTATTTACACTACGAGACCAACTAAAAAATGGTGGTCCGGGTTCACTATAAATAATCTCGTATGATAGAAGATAAGATATCTTCTATTAAATGAGACTAATCAATCCCATCTTTTTATTACTCTTTGTTATTTTTATTAAAAATTAATATTTCCCCTGCAAACCGAAAATAAAATTATTTGGTCAACACGTGAGAAAAAATGAGGCCGTAAAAGAGAAGAGAGAGAAAAGTGATCCCACCCACTCCCTTCCCTTTTATTACTACCCAATGTATGAGCTCAGAAGTCACATGCTACTTTCTACTTGATATGTCTATTTTCTTAACCGGTTATCAGTCATTCCCGCAATCCGCAGATGCTAATATATTATCCACTCAATAATTATAAAATAGTGATAGCACTGAGAAAGTTCTATTTCATGGTTTTCGTAGGAAACAACATAAATTTAAAATGAATAATTAATTCTATCGCACAACAAAATTTGCAACAATCTAAGCAAGTTTTGACAGTCATGGGGAACAAGCTAACCATAATTGTCTACAAGCTTAAGACCCCAGCTCATATCCTCACAGTGCCTTACATGTGGAACAAGTGCACCTGTGTCAGTTCCTCTCTTAGCCTTGCAATCATAGAAGGGAGGAGCATGGAAACACGGCTCCATTGACATGGCACGTTGACAAGGAGGATCAGGGGCTGTTTCATTCTCAGGTTTGTAAAGTATCCATGGTTTTAAACCTCCAAGCCCCTGCGCCACATAGCCAAAAGTAGACCATGAGCTAGTGACCAACACATCAGTTAAACTCAAAAGATACATTTCTGCCCAAGCTTTTTGGTTGTGCATCTGCTTCTCTGTTTGTTGATATTCTTCATGGCTTGGCTGATAAATGCCAACAACTTCTCCTGTCACGGTAGGATATTCCCAATACATGTCTCTTACTTTTTCAAAATAACCAGTGCTTAAGGATGTCATCAGCACAGCTTTTGAATTTGGCTTTCCTGATGAACTAATAATATCCTGCTTCCGGTCAACATCAGGCAAAAGATTCTCCTTCAAAATACAAGCTAAGATCTGATCCAATACATGTTGAAATGGCCCAGTTCCAGTGTCAAACACTCTAATCTGGATGCCTACTCTTTCATCAACATTAGCTAAATAAGCTTGATAGTATCTGATAACAAGTCCCCATACTTTGTTCGTGGGGCGGAACAGATATCTACCTAAGAAATGGAAAACTGTTTCCTTGTTTGGAAAGAGTTCACTCAGTTCCCGCTCAAAAGATGGCATCAAGAATAGAGATGGGATAAAGTAATTATCTGTTCTCACCACTAACCAAGGTACTTTCTGGAGAAAATGTTGGTCTTCATCACAGAAGAAAAGCTTATCCTGATCATCATAGTCATGGGCTAGATGAAGGTAGATAAAAGGTGACACAGTGGCATTTGTAATTGATTTATTTTTCAGCATTTTTCCATAACATTGAGCAGATTTCTGATTAAAATTATTTAATTTACTGTTAAGAGGAAAATCAGGAGGAAGAAACCAGGACACATCTGGAAATGGTTCACAAAAGAGATCGATCATATCAACTCCAGGATCAACCAATAGAACACGGTTTGTGAGGAGAGCATAAAGAAATGCAGAAGCTAAGGTCAATATCCTATTTCCTAACCCACTATATGAAATCCATACTACATATTTACAAGTTGAGGACTCACTTAAATGACCAGACCTAAGATCTTTCACCATTTTTTCATAGGATTTAGTAGAAGGTCCACATTCTTTGTGGAGAGCTTCGTATTTTCTTAATCTAGAAATGAGGTAAGAAGAAGGATTTCCTGATAATCCTTTGCGATATGCGACTGAATGATACCTACTTAGACAAGATCTTTCATCAAACCCAGCTGTTAGAAGGCCACCGAGTAGTTTATCATTTAGCAACTCAATAGAATCAGAGGCATTACTGTTCAAACCTACAAGTCAGAGAAGATGAAATCCATTATTAGACCATGAATGGAGAGGAGGAAAAGCAAACATCTAAAACAAAAGGATACAGGAAAAATCAGACAAACAGAAAAAGCAACTTGGTATTATAAAGCTCCCGTTCTGCCCAAGATCCAAGGAAGGGTTATAATATGTAGTCTTATCTTGAATTTGCAAGAGGCTGATCACATGGATCAAACTTATGACCTCCGGATCACATGGCGACAACATTAACTGATGTGCCAAGGCTCCTCTTCGGATCACAAGTTCATGTTTTGATTTTTTTTTTTTTTCTTTTTGTTTATTTGGATTTTTTCCTTGTTGTTTATCTCAAAAAGAAGAAAACAAAAAATGCAAAATATGAAACACAAGTTGATTAAATGCTAGCAAAGAGAATCAATTGCCCAAATTGGAAAACTCGTGCCTAAAATAATAGCCATTCGTTCTCTCAGTTTTCACTTTTATTGTTATTATTTTTATTCTTTATTATTTTGTTGTTGTCATTTAAGTACCAAACTTAAGCCCTAGCTCTCATATTCATTCAATTATGCAATTGCAAATACTATATCAAACAAAACTAAGAGAAAACCAACAAATGCGTAAACAAGAGAGGACAGCACCCAAAAATCAACATCTTACTTCAGTAATAACCAACTCAGGTTGTACATTCGTCATTCATCAGTAACAAATCTAACTTAGCATCAACATGTTCATCGGCACTATGACCATTACATTACATTAAATAAAAAGATAGGGCCACACAGTTACTAGGATCTAAGTTTCAGAAAGTGTGTACCAAATTAAAATCACAAATTAAGACCGAATCAAAGAAAGTCCTGAAGTCAGATCCACAGATCAGAAAAGAAAAAACAGAGAAAGAAAGAAAGAAAGAAAACCTTGTTGAGTTTGTTTGAGTTGCAGAATAGAAGTTGTTGTTGTTGTTGGAGATGAATGGGGCACAGCATCGTGACGAAGAAGGAAGGAGAGTGAGAAAAGAAAGAGAGAAACAAGAAAGAAAGACATGAGGCGCGTCAAACTGAAAAAGGAGCTTTTCCTTATGGAAACTGAGGAGGATCGACTGTCCAAATCTGAGAAGCTTTCGTCGTCGTGATTCCTATGAAGCCTCTTCATGTGAACTGCACTGTCGTTTCACCTCCCAAACCCGCAATGGATTTGGTTGCGATGCTTTGCTCTTCCACCCAAACACGGTCTTATGCACTTGCTATAAGCCTGTAACAGTGTTCAAAAATTGGTGTGACGTGTTCACTTGAGGGTTTTCAGTTACTTTGTTTATTCGGTTTTATACATTAAAAAAATATTAAATATATATTTTATATGAAAAATATAAAAAAATTAAATCAATTTAAAATATACTTAACATAATTTATCTATCTAATTATGTCCACAGGTTAATATTAGATAAGCTAATCAAAGTATAAAAATATAAAACACATAATACAATAAAGTTAGTAGTAAAAAATTATATCATCAAACTTACATCATCTCATTTCACGTATCTACAATAACATGTGAAAGAATATTTCTTACCTAATAGAGAACGGCGGAGGAGAGGCGACAACTCGACGAATCAACAATAGAGAGAGAAGAACCAGCACGGCGAAGGAGAGAGAGAGAGAATGTCGAAGAGTATAGGAGGAACCACTACTACGGCAGAGGAGATCACCGGATCAAGAAGACTGCATCTAAGTCTCGGAGAGAAGAAAGTTTCAGATTTCAAATCTAGTTTAGATTTAGGCAACGCGAGTTTTTATTTTTCTTTGGACACCAAACAATATTTTTCGTGTGTAATTAAAAACAAAAATACAACAACCTCTTCTGATCCCTCTTACCCGGGAGTCACAGATTCAAGGAGAGTCAGGGGGTCAACTTGCATACAGAGTCTAACTACTAAGCTCAATCTTAAATACAAAAAAAGAAAGAAAAGAGGAGGGATCAATGATGGGATCTATCCCATAGTGGGGCGTAGGGCTGTGCATGGGTCAGGTCGGGTCAGGTTTTTGTGCCGACTCGACCCAACTTGGTTATTGTAGGTCAGGTATTTTGATCTGATCCGCTTTAATTTGATCCAAGTCAGGTCTGACTTGGTTTGGATTTTTTTAAACTAGTTCAGAACCGGGTCGGATCTGACCTGAATTGGTTTCTGAAGTGGGTCTGACTTGGTTCCTGAAGTAGGTCAAATCTGACCTAACCTGTTTTTGACTTGGTTTCGTCACAAAATTTCGTCGAAATTTTTACGTTGCAAACGAAAAAAATTTCGTCACAAAATTATTTTTTCGTCAGAATACTTTTTGTCAAAAAAGCGACGGAATTTTTTCTCTAATGCTATCGAAATTTAGTTTACGTCAAAAGTTTTGACGAAAATGATTTCCTCAATCAAATGTTTTAAACGAAAAAAGAATTCAGTCAAAAATTTTGACGGAATATTTTTCGTTCAAAATTTCGAATAGAATGAGTTCTGACGAAAATTTCGACGGAAATTGTTTTGAGGGATATGTTTCATTCGAAACTTTCGACGAAATTTAGATTCTCTAAAGAATTTTTGACAGAATGTTTTTTCCATCAAAATTTGTTATCGAAATATTTTTTGTCAAAAATTTTTACGAAAATTTTTGACAAAAATGTGTTCCGTTGAAAATTTTGATGGAAATATTTTTTATGAAAAAACTTGACAAAAATATTTAGTCAAAAAAATTCGATGGAAATGTGTTTCGCTAAAAATTTTGACGAAAATTTTTTTTTGTCAAAAAGTTTAACGAAAATGTTTTCGTCGAAAACTTTCGCCGAAATTTGAATTCTACAAAGAATTTTGATGAAATTTTTTTCCGTCAAAAAATTTCTATGGAAATGTGTTTCGTTGAAATTTTTGATGAATATGTTTTTTTGCGAAATATTTTGACAAAATTTAGATTCCGTAAAAAAGTTTGACAAAAAAAAAAAATTGCGAAGAATTTTGATGGAAATATTTTCTGTAAAATATTTTGACGTAATCGTTTACATTAAAACTTTTCTTTTAATGTAATTGTGATTTTTTTTTCTTTATTTCACATAATGGGTATAGGTCAAGTTTTGGGTCAATGGGTCATTATTAAAACAAGTCAGGTTTAAAAATGACTTAAATAAAAGTGGGTCAGTATTTAAACCAGTTAAAAAAAAATAGATATTTATGGGTCAAATTAAGGTCAGATCAAGGGCAGGGCAAGTGAACCAATTTTTTTACACACCCTTGAGATTTTAAATGACCAGGTTCAACAACATTTTGGAGATTCCTTCCATAATCAGAAAGACCACTCATCGCTACATTGAGTTTTCAATTATTGAAATGAGTAAGATACTGGTTAATAGTTTATGATTATTAGTATGGGGAAAAATATGAAAGTAAAATGGCTTTGAAGGCCGTAGCATGTCAGAAGGAGAAACAAAATTTTTCTTATGCGGAATCACACATGCAATCAAGAATCATGCTTTATGACAGTATGGTATGATGTTACCTTTGTTTGTGAGTTCAAAACTCCAAGACGATCAGTGTTAGGTTTGAAGGGTTCAAACCCTCTAACGTTGATCCACACCACCCACGTCAAGATGCAAGAACTCTTCTTGTCAAGCCACCAATTGACCACCACAAAGAGGCTTGCTATGCGCTCAATAGGTGAAGAAGAAGGCTAGGTAAAATGTGTTTAGAAGAGTGAAGTCTTCAGCATGAAAACTTCACAAGAGTGGGGAATGGATTGGAGTAGAATTGGCTAGGTCTTTTTCTGAAAACCTTAAGGAGAACTTACCCCTAGTATGCGCACAAGAGAGTGAGAGAGTTAGTGTATCAAATCAAAATTTTTACTTTACTTATAATGAAAGTGGCGCACAAGTGAGTGAGACAAAGGTGGAGTTGTTGCAATTCAAAAATCCCAACAACCTCCTCTTTGAATCCTCATAAGACTAGGTCTTTATCTAGTCAAAATTCTGAACCAATGGTCATCATATGACCACCAATTCATGCGCCCCTATTCAGCCCAAAAAGGGTCCGATACATTTGAGCTGTTGCATTCAAGTTTAAACCAACTAGCTCATTGATTCTCTCAACAACCAAATCTGATTGGAGATTGTTGGTTTGACAAGATATGACAATCATCTCGCACCAAAATGGCGCCCCAAATCAGCCCTTGGAGATATCCATAGATCTTCTCTTGATACAAGAGATTTGTTCCAACAAGATCTCATCTTATCCTTTTGTTATGAAACAACTTTTCATAGCCAATTCAAATTCGAATTCAAACATTTAAATTCAAACGTTCAAACATTTAAATTCTAAATTCAAATTCAAATTTCAAATTCAAATTTCAAATTCAAATTCAAATTTCAAATTCAAAATTCAAAATTCAAATTCAAAATTCAAAATTCAAATTTTAAAATTCAAATTTTAAATTTCAAATTCAAAATTCGAATTTCAAAATTCAAATTCAAATTTCAAATTCAAAAATTAAAATTTAAATATTTGATAATTAATTTAACTAATTAAATTAATTAGTAATGTCTTGGACCATCCAAGCCCATTAACAATACCATGCGCCCTCTCCCTCTTAGGTGGGCTTCCAAACTTTATCTTGGGCTAACAACCATTATTAGGCCCAATACCTTTAATGCTATATCATCATGACATTAAGGTGTTAGTGTGTGACCCATTAGGTTCAACATAGCCATTGACATAAATGGGCTCGGGCCCAACAAGCCCACAACCCATTTAATGACAACACAAAGCACTAGCAATGCTTTGTTGCCCCAGAGCTAGTTAGATTAATGACTTGATCATCCTATTACACATATTTGGTTGCCATATGTATTTTTTTTCGTCTCGGTTACCTTCCCATAAAACCTAGGGTAAGGAAGCATATCAACCCTTGCGGTTTAGGGTAAGCTTTATTCGAAATAGGGAATCTTCAATTTACTGACTCTAAAGGCAGATCATCTCATGATCTCTTTCACTATGCATAGATTCTCCGGTTTACAGATAACCTAATCTCTCACAGAGATTTGATGAATTCCTTCAGCTCATCACCCTAGCCCTGTGCTCTTTCAGGACAAGTCCAACAGTATACCTATGAGTCTCCATGTTTCAGGCAGACGAGGTATACAGTCAAAGCATGCCTTCTAGAACACAGTCTAGGTAATAACTTCTGGTCTAAGGAAAGACATACCCCAAATATAAAGAGACTACTCTAATGATACTCTCTGTGAGATTTCCTTATAGAGTCTCTTTTGTGGGTCTGTTCAGTGCGAGCTATACCCTTATAGATCCACCCACGACTTTAGCTAAGACATCTCCATATCTGTAGCTCATGAGGTCTTTACCTTGCATCCGAATACAAGTAGATAAGTCGTGCTAGTCTTACCCGAGATCACTGATCCCCATTCTCAGTGTCTCTAGACTAGGAACATAAAATTAGGAATAAATATCTAGTATCCTTGAATCCTCATGATCGTGATCTCATCACAGATACTCAAGAGATACCTATTTTATTCCAAGGGGTTTATCCAGTTACTCATATAAAATATTAACAGTAATATTGAGATAAAATATGATACAGGATAAATAGTGATTTTATTTATTTGCGACAATACAAAGGTCCACATATGTCCTAATCTAATTAAAAGATTGTCTCTAGGACATCCATATACTAACAAAATATATTAGTATAATTTCCAGCTTAATTTGTAATAATTAAATATATTTTAAATTATGGAAAAATATTTTTGTTAACTTTTTTCTGTCACACTGACATAAAAATGAATGAATCTCATTATAATGAGAAAAAAGAGAAAAAAAAATAAATGAGATATAATAAAACCGACTCATTCTCATGTGAGTGTGGCAGAAAAAAAATTATTCAGCAAAAATATTAAACCTTTTAAATTATATATTGTTTAATAAATAATAAATTAATATATTTAGTAATTGAGTAATAGGATAACATGTAAATTTTATAACATTTAATAATTATATATACAAATAGGGACAAGATCCTTTGACATTAAATCTTAACCATTATTTCGTGAATCTAATGATTATATTTTATTGGGTCACACTTATTAATTAATTATTAATTTTTAATAAATTATAATTGTTAGATTGATAAAAATCAACGATTAATTTAACACCTACACCGATGTCAAAGCAACATATCTCATAAAAATGTTTAAACATAATATGATATTCAAAACGACGCCGTAAAATCTTTATTATCGTATATGTCTATTTTATTTTATTTTTTATACAAAAAAGGTTTCAAACCGATTTAATTGGTTTTGCATCAGTTTGACTGATTCTATTAATGATTTTTTGTACATCCAATCTTTTAGGTCATATAAATCGGACACATTATAGGTTCAGTGGTATTTTAGTGGAACTGGTTGGTTTTATTAACATATCAGTATATCACCGTCAGATCTGTCTTTTAAATTTTTGTCATGAAGTCCTTTAACAGATTATCATGTAACCACATTAGTTCTCCAAAAGATGTTAACCTTGCGCAGATCCATCCTATAGACTATGAAAAAGTGGTTTTGATGTAAGGGAAATCATACTCTATCATTAAATGTGTGTTATTTCAACTATGTAGACTATCTCGGTCTTTTAACCATAATTGTAATGTTATAACTGTCGTAATTTATATCCAATACTACAGAACAACAATATTTTCTTGCTTTCAGGCCACCTAAGAATTTTCTACAACGCACCCACACAATTTGGGTGGTGACACCTCTAAAAGCAAAGCAATATTGCCATAAACACCATACGTCCATACCAAACATAGAAAAATGGGTAAAACAATCATGTTCAGTTCTCAATATAATTTGATTGACCCAAATTTTTAACTTTCATTTTTACCCCCTACCGTACTGACCTTTACATCTGAAGGTTACTTCTGGTTTGTGAGATATATGTTAGTACCACTTTTGTTGTTGGAATGTCTCTGAGTTTGTTTCCATTCAGCTTTTTTTTTTTTTCCCAACTAAAGATGAGATGGGATGAGAAAAAAAAAACCTAAGCAGCTCTGTTGAATTTTGCTTGTACAATTAAACAAGCCTTTAAGGATGTTATGAGAGGCTAGAAGGCCTTGGCAAGTAACTATAAACTTTAATGCTTCTGATCAAATGCTCAAGAACATCATATATCAATCATTAAAGAATGATTATTATCTGCAGTCACAAATTTACTAACCCCACTTCCCACCTCAATTGAGCTGCAGCCAGGAGCTCTTGATTGTTTTATCTTATTCCTAACAATCATCTTCTTATTCCACATGCCTTTATCGGCATAAATATTAGACATGGCAACACTATCACCCACATAGCCAGGGTCCAACTTGAGCAGCTTATGCCAAACTTCTGCAGCTAGCTCTAATTCACCATGGAGGCTGCATCCCCCCAACAAGGTTCGCCAAATCACCATATTTGGAGGCACTGGCATCTCCATAATGAATTCATAGGCTTCTTTCAAATGCCCACCTCTGCATAAAAGATCCACCATACAACCAAAGTGAGGCTCTCTAGGCTGTATACCATAATCTTTAGTCATACTTCTAAAATGGCGCTTTCCTTCCTCAACCAACCCTGCATGGCTACAGGCCATCAAAACTCCTATGAACGTTACATCATTAGGAACGATCATATAGGTGCAGGAACTCCAGCTTTTCTTGTCCCTCTTTATGTTCATTTCTGAAAAAAGTTGAAGAGCTTCATGTGCTTGCCCATGCCGTGCATGCCCCACAATCATAGACGTCCAAGTTGTGACATCTTTGTTTCTTGTGCTATCAAACAACTTCCTGGCAGTTACGATATCCCCGCATTTAGCATACATATTTATGAGAGCATTATTCAAACACAAATCTATGTTCATCCCTTGTTTACACCGAATAAAAGCATGGATCCCTTCACCCATTTCAAGTGCCCCAATATCAGCACAAGCAGTTAGAGCAACAGTTACAGTGACTTGATCAGGCTCCACATTGTTCATCTGCATCAGTCTAAACAGTTGTAAAGCTTTGCATGGTTTGTGATTCTCAACATAGGCAGAAATCAAAGATGTCCAACATATGATGTTCTTAGATGGTATTTCGTCGAACACTTGGTGTGCGTCACCCAGGTTCCCCCGTTCAGCATACATTTTGAGAAGGGATGTTTGGAGTTGAACTATGGCTTCGTATCCAAATTTTATTATAAGGGCATGCAATTGTTTTCCTTGCATGGAGGAATGTATCCGATTGCAGGCTTTAATGGCAAACAGGAAAGAAAAGCTATCAATGGAGTTGAAAGTGGCTCTTTTTCTAAGGAAGGATCTGAATAGTTTAACCACTTTGGTGTGGTTGTTGCATTCAAGGTACTTCCTGAGGGTTTGGTTTGGCTTTGGTGGTTTGAGGCTAATGTGGAACTGAGCTTTTCGATGCCACATGGACATGGGGGCATCAACCAATTTGTTCGCACTCTTTTGAAGCAAAGTGTTGAACCATTTGAATTGGGTCATGAATGATCAGTGTCATAAATTCAAGTTCATCAATGATATGTAGTTAATTAACGAGTCAACACCCTTTACACACTCTGTTGGGCAACGATTGTTAACAATCCAATTGCTAATCGGCTTCAATCAGCCACTTGGTTTTGATATCTTTTCATTTTTTAGACTTTATACACGTGGCAAACTCGAGTTTCTGGGAGAATTCATGAATTTAGTTTCGTGACACTTTTGAACATTCATTACCCAATATTTGTGGTTTTTTTTTCCACACTTATAACCTTTTACTAATAATTAATTATCAAATTGATTTTCATTATAAACTATTTTAAAAATTTAACCCCCTCAAAAAACAAAACATCAATCTGCCCATGTTTGACCGTTGACCGCCAAGCCTACCCGAATACACCCCTCCCTACTCGGGTATTTTTTGAAATTTTTTGTATACCCGGATAGGGAGAGGTATACCCGGATATTTTTCTTAATTTTTTGAATTATTTACCCGGGTAAGAATGAGTGTACCCGGTTAAATCTTCTTCTTATTAACCCACAATGATTCAAACACATATTGTGCCAATGCCTGCGGTTCCTCGAAAGCATTTTTAGATAAGTTAATTAGGTAGATGCTTAGTAAAAAAAAAAAGTAAAGAAATGAACACTAACGTTGTTCATGGAAACCATAAAGAACGAGAAACAGAGAACGCGTGGCAAGTAATTAAGTAATGACTCACTAATCACTAAAATAAAGAACATTTACCTGGGTACACTCATCCCTACCCGGGTAAATAATTCAAGCAATCAAGAACAATACCCGGATACACTCCTCCCTACCCGGGTATACAAAAAATTTCAAAAAATACCTGGGTAGGGAGGGGTGTACCCGGGTAGGCTTGGTGGTCAACGGTCAAACAGGGGCAGATTGATGTTATATTTTTTGAGGGGGTTAAATTTTTGAAATAGTTTATAATGAAGGTCAATTTAGTAATTATTTATTAGTAAAGGGTTATAAGGGTCAAAAGTCCAATATTTGTATTTTGGAGTCGTAAAAGTGCAAATTATTACTTTAAAATTTATATAAAAAAACAAAAACAAAAACAAAAAATGTAAGAAGGCTTAAAACTGGTGTTATCCTCAAATTGAAACGTTTGTTCATAAATTCTTCCCAATAAAATACAGCCACTATGAGATAAAAGTTGGTATCTACATACTCTTGTTCATTTCATTGAAATGTTGTCAATAAATAGGTTCAGAATTAGAAATTATAAATAAATTTGAATTTGCGACAATCTATAACCAACTCATAAAATTACAACTTCTAACAAAACGTAATGAGCTCCTATTAAATATAAAACGCAATCAACTTCTATTACATTAAATTCAAAATTCAAAATGCACAAATCCTATCTACTCTAAATTGTATTAACTCTAAATTGTATTAAATCCTAAATCAAAACGTAATACTCTAAATTAAATTCAAAATATTTGCTCTAAATTATATTAAATTTTAAATGAAAACGTAATACTCTAAGATTAAATTCTAAATTCTAAATTCAAAATATGTAACAGCAGCATAACCTCCAATACTCCCCATCAAGTTAGAGCATGTAAGAATGAAATGCCCAACTTGGGAAGAAAACCATGGAACGCTGAGTGTCCAAGAACCTTTGTGAACAAATATGCCAGCTGAGACTGAGAACGAACATGTGCTATAGCAATATGACCCGCGGAAATATGATCCCTAACAAAATGACAATCAAGCTCAATGTATTTAGTTTGCTCGTGAAATATTGGATTAGCAGCAATGTGAAGTGCTGCTTGATTATCACATAAGAGATCCATAGGACCAGAATGATTAACTCCAAGGCTCATGAGAAATCCTTTAAGCCAAATCAACTCTGAAGTAACCGCAGCCATGGCCCTGTATTCAGCCTCTGCTGAAGAATGAGCCACGGTGACTTGTTTCTTTGTTCTCCAAGATGGGAGAGTGACCAAGCATGACAAAATAACCTATAACAGATCGCCGTGTAAGGGGACATGATGCCCAGTCTAAATCACAATAACCATGTAACTTTAAATCACTAATAAAAGGCAGCAAAACACCCTGCCCATGACTCTTTTTTATATAACGCAGAACACGAGTAACCTCATGAAAATGTGTCTCACGTGGTGCCTACATGAACTATGATAAAACATGAACTGCATAGCTCATATCCTGCATCAACAGCGGCTAAAAATGCTCGATTTATAAGTGTAGGAAATCTTATATTTATGCGGAAGCGGTTTAGGACCTAGTACATTGGTATGCTGACCGAATCATCCTTGTTTCACAATTACCTCTCGGTGCGCAGGTCTCGTGTAGAATCTTCCCTTGTAGGATTCCTCTTCACGAACAGCTCACCTCAGCGCCGCAGCACGAACAACCTCCTTGAAGCTGGACTGTGGCAGATCTTCCAAACTATCTCTCGAGGAGGAAGGGGAAGTGTGTGGGCACTGATTAGATTCAGAGCTTGCCTCTTTCTCACAAAAAAGACCTTGGAGGCTGATGACTTAAGAGGTACTATTTATATGGGTTCCAAGAAACCCTAGCTCATTGGGCTGTAGGTTCCTTGGGCTCTTCTCATACTAATAACCCATTTGGGCTTTAGTAAAAGAGCAAACCCAACAATCTCCCACTTGCTCTTTTGGATACAAACTTGAGTCGTAAAACCCAAGATCATGTAACCCATAAGTCATCATCTATCCGAAAAATACCCCATCCCTTGTCTCAAGCTAGCTTGGGGATCTACCATCTGTTATTAATCAAGGCTCCTGATAATCAACGAATGATTATCTAATTCGGTGCTACTCCACTAAAAGCCCGAACTTGAACTCCAAGATTAACAACACTTATAACATGAATATGCATCGCCCCTTTGTAGAATGTCTATAATTGATTGACAAGTTTTCTGTAACTCAATCAATTATTTATTCCCTTGACTATGATAGTTTCTTTAATGGATTACATGCACTGGCCAGTGTCTTTAATATCCAAGTACCGAAACATATCAAGGGGACATATCCTACAAATTCCATGTTGTTTATCTCATAAATACCGATAATCAAATAATCTCACTCCCAAAATACCGAGTTATTGGCCGTCAATAGATCGAACCTCACCCGTTGGTAAATCAAAGAATGAAAACTATTTGATTACCTATTTATAATAAACTCAGGATTAAGAGCAATCACATAACTATAGTTAACTGGAGATTTGATACCTTATGACAGGAAAAACAACCTTAATCAAATCTCTCCTTGATCCTTTCAATGTGAATGTTAATTCACACCAATATTTTCCAATGATTCGGACAAAACCATTTCATAAAATATTGCAGCCTAAATAAAGTGCCCAACTTTATTTAACAGCTGTGAATCCATTCATCAATTGTGAGAACATATGATCATGTCCTCCATGAACGTATCCATATGATCATATACTCCACAATTTGATCCGGACCTTTATGTTTGTAAATAGTGCGCAAAATAAATAAATAAAACCTTATTTATGAAATTCAGAAAATTATTTTATTGTTTCATGGTCTTACTCCAAGAGCACAATGAAACCAATAACTCCCACTTGCTTAATGCAAGTCTGGGATCCTCTTAAGACCCAAAGAAGTAACATGCCTCTCGAACACAAGTTCAGGCAAACTCTTAGTAACTGGGTCTGCAAGATCCACCTCTAATGCTATCTGAGTTTAGTGAAAAACTCATAGCTCGAGGTTGATTTTCTTGAGTCAATATCGACTTGAAATAACTGAATATTTGAAAACTCAGCTTTTCAAGACTCCCACTAGAATATACCAGCATATAATCTCTCGTTCTCCAAAGATACTTGAGTACATGCTTAACAATAATCTAGTATTCCTCTAGGTTCAAAATGGTACTATCTCACTACTCCCACTGCGTGACAGATGTCTGGTTTAACGCCCAACATGATATGCGTGAGTCTACCTTTGCCAAAGCATAAGATATCTTGCTCATGCATTCATCCTTCTTAGAAGTCTTTGGTCACTCCTTAGGAAGATGAATTCCACATCTGAGAATTATAATTCTTCTCTTAGAATTCTCATGTTGAATTTTGGGTTTTGTCAATATAAGTAGCCTGAGGTGATGCCAACAACTTATTCTTCCGGTCTCATAAGAGTTTTATACCAAGAATATAATTGGCTTCCCCAGTACTTCCATACCAAAACACTAACTTAGCCAACTCTTTATGCTTGATATTACCTCCATATTGTTTCTAATAAGGAGCATATCATCTACATAAAGTACCAGAAAAGCTACTGTCTTCCGTTGTATCCTTTACATACAAATACACATCATTCATCAAGGTTCTCTCAAAATCAAAATTTTGATAACCTGATCAAAACTGATGTTTCAAGACCTGGATGCTTGCTTAAGTCTATGAAATAGACTTTCACAACTTGCATACCGTGTGTTCCTACCCATTTGCTATAAACTCTTTTGGTTGTTGTATGTAGATATCCTGACATCCAACTCCCAAAATGAAATCTCATAATTGAGACTTATAGCAACTAAGAGAATCTGGATAGACTCAAGCATGGCGTCTGGCAAAAAATGCCTCCAAGCTAGCTTTGAAGGTTTTCACCTTTCTGTCATCCTCTCTTTGCCTTTTATGTCCACATGCACCTTGTGGATTTTACCCCTCTTGGTGTCTTTACTAGGACCGAACAGAGTTGAAATACAAGTATTTCATCTCATTGTTCATAGCCTGAGCAACACTTGATCAACAACATCTTCTAGTGCATTATCGTAACTAGTAGGATCAATATCACTCAACAAGAGACAACTTGAGAGTTAACAAGGTTTTCTCCCACTACGAATATACTGCACTAGACCTTGTGTATTTATAGGTAAAACAAAGAGTGGGTCAAATGATGGATCTTCAATTTCTTGAGGATCCGTTTATCCATGATATTGTTCCTTTACATGTGATACTAATATTTCTA